CTATCCCTACCTCGGTCATCTCTGTCACTCCCAGGACTCCTAGACTTAACACTCCGGGAACTCCCAGTATAAGTAGCACAATCCTTCAATTAAGAGAAATGGAAAAATTAGACATCATATACAGTATGTACTCTTACAAACCACAAAATCTCTTAAAAATAATTGCTAAATACCAAAGAAGTGTTTAGTGAAAAAGGCACAATAATTCAAGGCATCAAGGTATAATCCCCTTCCACCCTAGTCCCCGGATTTCTACTGAACTATGTTTGTGGGAAAACATTGATTGCAGAGAGCCAGTAAGCACATGGAAGTGAAAATGACAGCAGTAATTCTGTTATGGCAGAAATTTATCCCTTCAAATTCTTATAGTAGAACCGCTTAATCAAAACACCTAAAACAGACCAAGGAGTCAAAAGTTGCATGTTATGGAATCAAGGAGCTAATAGCTTCTTAGTAGGTTTGTTCAACATATCCAGTTCTACATAGAGATGTTAGCATGGTGAACCTCAGAAGTTACATTTTGTCTCAATAGAATTCAAGGGCAGTTTCATTGTTAAAATTCTATAAGGATCAACAAAATATCACACTATTAATATATTAAAGCTTGTGTCCTATTTCTCATTGCTGTTCTGTACTTTTACTAACCAAAGCTGAAGTAAAAAGATCACTTTCTTGGAAATGCATTAGTGAGTACCGAAATATCAACAACAAGATTAACTTACATCTGATGATAGATTTTCTCTAGAACGAGAAGTTCCATGTGTGTTACTATGCGATCCCTCCCGTGTCACAGCACTTTCTGGTATGCATAATTCAAAAACAATTAGAAGAGAAAAATTACAGGAAATTTCAGTAAATAAGCAAATAAAAAATAGAACATCTTGAAGATAAGTGAAGTCATACTCTCGCTAGAGGAGGCTTCCCGATATCGCCTGTTTACATTTCTGCGTACACCACTCTCACTTCCACCATCGTTTTCTACTTCATCTAATCCAGAAGATTCACTAGCCTCTTCCTCTTCATCAATCGACGCCATAAAAGAAGTTGTAGCTCTTTCCTTCGGAGCCTTAAATCCTCCTCCATTTGCATCAGATCCTCCTCGTTTCGCAATCGCAAGTACATCTAAACCTAATTTTATCAACACGAATTTTTAATTTTCTATTTATAATATAGATAAATATATAGATGGATGGATAGATAAAAAATAATACCTAAAAGTGATTTCCTTTCAGGAGGCCGAAATTCGAGTTTCTCCTTTTTAGGAACAAATAAGCCTCCGGCACTACCATTGCTCTGCTCTGCTTCCATTGTAACGACTGACTTGTCTATATCCATGACTACACTTTTACTGCTAAATCAAAAATTGACAAGGAAGACGCGTACCTGGGGGTTTGGATCGAGTAGTTGATTGAAACCCTGGACAAATAAGCTGGGAGAGAAAACCAGGTTGGGATTTCACCCACTTTTGAAGGGTCAGAGAAAATTCGGCTGTCATTCGAGAATTAATTAAGAATCTGGCCCAGACTAAATTGGGCTACAATGCCCACTGAACCAGTGCAGTGACTTTGTTTGTGACTAGGTTCAAAGTCGGCGGTCCAGGCCCATGTTTTTAATGGAAACTTTTTTCAGTTGATAAATAGTTAGATATATATATATATATATATATATATATATATATATATATATATATATATATATATATATATATATATATATATATAGCCGCAATGTTTCATTATACACATAGGTCCAAAATACTTTATATTACTACAGCGGAATGATGTTTTGGGTGGAATGACTATGGTTTAATGATGTTTTTGCCATTTATTCATTAAATTATTGAAATTGTTATTTGGTGTAGTATAGTTTTTTTTTTTTATTTCTGTGCCTATTAATTATTGTTAGATTGATTAGAGACAGAATTGTTTTTTCAATTTTTTAAAGTACAGTAATGATTAAATCACTTTTAAAAATAAAATTTATTTAACAAGTATTTATGGTTTTTTTATTTGAATTTTCACTTTTTCAAGCAAAATAAATTGACTAGATTACCCTCGTATGTAATTTCTTATATGCATATAAATTGGTAGATAGAGACTTTTTTGTATTAACATCTTGGTTTTTTAATTATAGTCAAATTGATTGAGGGGATATTTGGTATTTTAATGAATATAGATTTTATTAAAAAAAATAATTAATACATGCAACAAACAAACGTGTCGTCGTATATAAATCTTTTAATGTATAAGAACAGCCCGTGAGGTGTATTACATTAGCTAAACAATGCCAATCTCAAAAGACATTAGATTCATTTTGGTTGCCTCTCTCCCCCTCAAATGACGGGTTTAACTTGTTGGTCTTTAGTTTGGCGATAACGATTTGTTTCCTTGCATTTTTTTTTTATCTTTTCAATTTAATATCCTAATTTGTTTTTTATATTTTATCATTTTTCTTTTAATTATCACATGTTTTATTTAAAATTATTTATAAAATTATTTTTTTAATAATTTCAATTCTCAAAATTAGTGCCTTCTTGCTCGAGTCCCCATTCTCCCCCAAGTCCTTAAATAATTTTTTATCTTTAAGTTTAAAACTTTTAATCTAATCCTTTTATCTATACTTGTTGGTAGATTTGGCATGGTTTTGCGACCTGCTTTGGAAATAAAAGCTGTTTTGTAGGCATTCTTTCATGAATATTTAAGGTCTCAATTGACATTTAAAATTGTATTTGGATGAAATTAAAATTTGAATATAATTACAGGGTTCAGTTGGAGTACCATTTTCTTTTTCAGCTCCCGGAGCTGTAGAGCCCTTGGATAGCTTCTGAAAAAAACGAAAAGAAAAGAAGAGCCCATGGATAGCTAAGGTTTTTGGACAGGGGAAAAATGGGAATCTGTTGTGGAATTAATTATTATAATATCACTAATATGCCCCTGGGTAGAATAAAAGTTGTGGCAGAAAGAAAAACTTTTGAAAGACATCTGATAATGACATTTGATTTTAATTTTTACTTTATCTTTACAAACAATTTTAGACAAAAATGAGTTAAGCCCGTTTGGTTGCTGATTTTTTTTTAAAATTTTTTTCTTGAAAAGTAATTTAATTTTTTATATTTGATAATATTATAAAAAGAAAATTTTGAAAATAATTTTCAGTATTTGACTGTATTATAAAAAATAATTTATTATTTATTATTTTTTTAATTTATTAACAAAATGAGAACTATGTTTGATAAATAAAAAAAATAAAAAAAATTATTTTTATAAATTATTTAAAATAAAATAAATATAAATTAAATGAATAAAAATCAAATCTAACAATAAAAAAGTTGAAAGGGAATGAATTTTTTTAAAAAATTATTTTTATACATTATTTTAAATAAAATAAATAATAAAAAAATAGGAACAAAACTTGATTGATAAAAAAAAATTAATTAAGAAAAATAAAGAGAAAACTAAATGACAATTAAAAAAATCAGTACCCAAGTTCATATAAAAATTAAATTAAATTAAATTTTAAAGGAAAATACATATGTATATATATATATAACAATCAAGTGATTAATGATCAAATTTAATATAATTAATAATAAACAAAATATTTTTTAATTTTATCAACTTCTCAAAAGTGTTTTTCGTTTATAATAAAATAAATATTTTTATAAAAATCAAGACATAATTTTTTTTATAAAAAAATATTTTTTAATTGGCTAATTTTTCTAATGACAAACAAACATTAAAAAAATATTGGCTAATTTTTCTAATGACAAACAAATATTAAAAAATTTTTAAAAATAAATTATTTTTCACGAAATAAACAAGATATGAGTCCATTTAATAGAGCCTATGAATTATGAATTTTAAATTTAAATTTAAGTGATAATTCAAAATTCATAGCCTATGAATTATGAATTTTAAATTTAAGTGATAATTCAAATTCATTTTTTTTATAAATTATATGAAGGAAATAATTTTAAATTTAAAACATATTAAATGAAAAAAATTAAAAATGATTTTGTTTTAAAGAATGCAGTGCAAGTTAAAATCTGTATGTTGAAAGCTAAAGATTTTTTTTTTACTACAATAAAGTTTTGATTCAATTCTGTATCAAACTTTTGATTGAAGTCTACAGCTATTTGTACCAAATATGCTTAAATAAAAATTTTGCTTTGATAGGAAATTAACATTTGCATAAGCGATACCAAATATAATCTGTTATGTGTTCAAATAATTAAATTTTACAAATTAATTTAATTTATTTTAAGTTTGTCTGGCTATAAATAATTTTTTCTTTAAATAAAAAGCTTACAATAAAACCGAGATTGAAATTTGAAAATTTTAGCTCATGAACTATAACCTACACTACATTTAAATTATATTACTAAACATATTCATTTTAATTTAGTGTTGTTATGAATTATTTTTCATAAATAATTTCTAAATTACAAATCAAAATAAAAAAATTATTTTTAAAACATATTTTTTGAAAACCTGTATCTATACATAATATATAGGATTGTTTTTGTTTTTGTGTTTTAAAAATATATTTTTTTTTAAATTTAATTTTTTAAATTTTTTATTTTAAATTATTTTTTTAGATCATTTTGATATATTAATATTAAAAATAATTTTTAAAAATTAAAAAATATTATTTTAATATATATTTAAATAAAAAATATTTTAAAAAACAACTACAACCAAACACTCATCCACAACTAAATAACCTTAAGACCTCTGGCTGTCTAGCTATACTGGCTTTCATGATGAGTGCAATATTCCATCATCTAGCTATACTGGCTTTCATGATGAGTGTGAATATTGTTGCGAATCTTTTAATCAGCTAGTCTTAGAAAAAGGATGCTGAAAAGCCACTTAACCAAGCAAGAATGGAATTCTGTTTATGATATGAACAAAAGGATCATATTCGTTGTTTGAGATTCCTTTCATGCTTGATGGATAATGATGAATCAAATACAATTGTCAGCTCCAGCGTCCAATGAAGGCTCGAGATGGCGCTACTTTGAAAATGTCTCCAATTCTAGCTAGTGTTATGAAAACCATGTTCTCCATGCTTTCCCTTTACAAAATCTGTGGACACCCTCTTGACAGTTATATAAAAAGGAGTGGTTATAGTTCTTGCTTCATTTCAAAGCAGATTCTTCGAACTTGTTGCTGTTTATAAAGAGAGCCTAGTCTGATTGGAACACTTGCAACTTTTTAAAAGCCCTGAACAACTTCAAGGCAAATTCCTGGGCTAAATAATGGTGAGCAAACAGAGCAGTTCTCGAGCAGATTCGTTAGACCATCGTACGGATCTTCTATCGCCTGCTGTGGCAGGAGAGACTGTGAACATGATGATCATGGAGCCGTCTTGGCAACTTAGTATTGATAAGTTCCGGTTGCCAGAGAGACGGATGGATTCTCATTCTGGCTTTGGATATTTTCTTAAGACACCGAGTGAGCTTTCCATTGATTTTTAATGTCATCAATTACATGCTTAAAACACTAGCTGCTTACGCATTTAAGGATTTCTTTTTCCTCCTCTCTGGCAGGGAGACACAAGAAAATTTCAGAGTACTACAGATGGCAGGAAAAGCTTCTCGAGGGATTCAATGAAGTGGAATCATTCGTTGAATTGGGCATTTCGCCTGGAAGCTTAACGGAGGTTTATTGTTCTTGTCCTTTCCCTTTCCTTTCCTTCTCTCTTTTCCTCTTTGATTTTCGATCCCTCAAATCAACTACGAGTGCTTATAGGAGCGGAACCACAATTTGTCTCAAGTCATAACTATTTTGAGACCACAATCTTATAGTAACTTGGTTCTGTTTCACTCATTTTAATTTGTTCCCAATTGACTCTCATGATTTCTCTCTATCATGTTATCTTTTTTATGCTTAAAACATTTTTTTTTTTTGTTCAGGATGAAATGAAACAACTTGCAAGGAATGAGAGAGTGGCAATATATGCATCAAATGCAGCCAACTTGGTGCTTTTCTTTGCTAAAGTGTATGCTTCTTTTGAGAGCAGATCATTGGCAGTGATAGCTTCAACTTTGGACTCCCTTTTGGATCTATTATCAGGATTTATTCTGTGGTTTACTGCTGACGCTATGAAAAAACCAAATCAATATCGATATCCTATTGGCAAGCAAAGAATGCAACCTGTGGTAGGGCTTATTCCCTCAGCTGATCTTGAAATAAAAGCTGTCTGTGCCCTTCTTGTTCATTGTTTTTCAGTGCCTTGAAAGTGGGTGATTCGAAATCAGGCATTCGAATCCTCAAAACCTCAACTTTAAGTCTTCGTTACTAGATCAACGTCCCGGAACAATTGTCCATAAAACACTCCAGCATTGGTGCATCGTTTAGCAGAAACACTAAAAATTATGCAATGCTTCATTTGCTGCCCTTTGCCTCGAGTGTCTTTAATGAAATATGAGCTTTAGGTCGTTGAAGAAGGAACAAGTGTGGTACACAATGGTAACCATGTCCAATGAGAGTGTATCAATCACAATTGCGTATTTAAGGTTATCAATTGCTTAAGCCTTCTTATATATATATTGTGCTTTTTCACCGATCCAAGGTTCTTTTTTTTTCAGGGAATAGTTATTTTTGCATCAGTAATGGCAACTCTTGGATTACAGATATTGTTCGAGTCAGGAAGAGAACTTGTTACAGGGGTAGATGCAACATTCATTAATCTACACTACAACTGCTATATTACTAGAAAACATTTAAAGTCATCTTTAATTAGCTTTATGCAGGCTCAACCAGAAAGAGATCCTAACAAAGAAAAATGGATGATTGGCATTATCGTCTCTGTCACAGTGGTAAAATTTGTGCTCTTGTTATATTGCCGCAGATTCAGCAATGAAATTGTCAGGACATATGCTCAAGATCACTTTTTCGATGTCATTACTAATTCAATCGGTCTAGGGTCAGCAGTGTTAGCTATCAAGTTTTACTGGTGGATTGATCCTATTGGAGGCATCCTTGTAAGTTGACGGTGTTGGCTAATGATTCAGAATTATTCGGTAATATTGGTATATGCTCCCCCTTTTCACATTATTATAGTATAGGAACAACTGATATATGAAACTGAATTGTAGATAGCTTTATATACAATGAGCAACTGGGGAAAGACAGTGGTGGATAATGTTCGGTCATTGATAGGGAGGACAGCTCCACCAGAGTATTTAGCTAAGCTGACGTATCTAATCTGGAACCATCACAAGGAGATTAAGCACATCGAAACCGTTAGAGCATACACATTTGGTTGTCAGTACTTTGTGGAGGTTCATATAGTCTTGCCACAGGACATGTCTCTTGATCAAGCGCATGATATTGGAGAGACACTTGAAGAGAAGCTAGAACAACTTCCTGGAGTTGAGAGAGCTTTTGTCCACGTGGATATTGATACCACTCATCATCTGGAGCACAAGTCCAAACGTCCAGGAATATTCTGAAAGAAAATCCCTTAATGGAGACTACCTTGTTATGGTTCAAGGCATAACGAACACCTTCCGGGATCTTCCTGAGGACATCTTCAATTAACGATGGAATTAAGAAATCAAATCTTACTGAAGGAATAATATGAAACAAGCTGATCGTATGATAAGTGAGTATCTATAAACTTGAAGAGGAGTAGAAACTTGGTAGCTTGGATTAATATTTATCTCTGTGTGTGTGTGGGGGGGGGGGGGGGGGTTG